GGACACTTCTAAACCTTATTATAAACATTGCAACTGCCTCACGTTCTAAGCGCTGGCTTGGCTCTGATCGCACCCATCAGGACGCTGCACACCTGTGGGATTCTGCATGCACTTCCTCGCAGCTGAGCACTGGAGACTTGAGGGCAGCCTTTACCCGAGCACCGTACTGTGAAAAACAGATTTTGTAAATTCATTATTTTTAAATGAAGAGCATTAAACCCCCAATTTACGTTTAATTAGTAAAATGAATAATGAAGTACTAAAAGACTATTCAGTAGGGAACCTTTCAATTGCATATAATATAGGGAGATAAGGAAAATTCTCAGTAGTTCTGTGAAAGCTTTAAAGACAACCCAAGTTGAAAATAAACCACTACTACAAGCCCAGTTAATTCCCAAACCTCTGTGAAAATAAAACCATGCCACAAAGCCTTTGAGAGCAATTTTTATTAGGGTAGCAGAATGGACTTGCAGAAAGCCTATACCAGTACTCCTGGGTGTAGTTTCACCAGTGCGCTGCTTTCATTGTGGATGCTCAACTGCACGTTTAAAATTCAGCATGGCTTAGGGAACCAGAGAGAACAAGAGCTTGATTTCCTGAGTTATCCTAGGACTTCGCACTTGGATTTCTCCTCCTCAGCCTTCAGCCACACAGGTGCCGGATCCCTTTGTTCAGAGGCTGCCCCAGACACGCGCCAGCACTTTGTTTACACAGTTTAGCAATTGGACTATGAAGAACACACCAAGAGAACTGATAGCGGGATCTGTCTTCGTGTGAGCTCTGCAGCCGGAGGGGAGCGGCTGGCGCGGCTCAGCCGCAGCTCCCGCGGCCCTTCCGTCCCTTCCCGCGGCATCCGGTCACAGCCAGGCAGAGGCGCAGTCTTTGACCTGAGAGGCTTTACAACCACAGAGTAACTATTGAGTAGCAACGAGGGCAGCAAACTAGTGCTACAGTTTTGTTTCAAATAAAATTTAGAGGATGGTAAGTTTCCATGCCAACAGACATGATCAAAGGTACAGTGACTCGGGTGATGCAGAAGTTACACACTTCAGTTTGACAGATAATTTGGCATTATTTTATTATGAATCTGAGTGAGCGTGAACGAAACAAAATCAGTACCAACTTTCTGCAAATGAAGACACAAAGATGTGAAAATTTGGTAATAGTGCTCTCACAAGCCTGAAAACACTTAGGAAATGCAAGTTTCCGTAAATAAGGTGAATGTGGTTTAACTTTATTTACCTGCCAAAGAATCTGTCTAAGAACACTTAAACATAAAATTTCTTAGCTCCCTAACTCATAAAAAAATTTACTTTCAACAGAGGTGAGGTACTGGGCTGTCATTGTTTACACTAAATTGGAAATGAAAGCCAGAGGAGAGGGACGAATAAGGAAATAGCAAATACACAAGACATTAAAACCAAGAGAGATCTACTGCTTGACACACTAGTTCTGAAAGGTTGCAAAGGCAGAGGCTGTATTAAAACTGAATTTAGGAGTATAGGCAACCACCTAGGTGTCAGGGTTATTTCAACTCAGCTTCCTGCACATCAAAATGATATGTGCTCCTAGATACTGATGGATTTCTGGAAATAATCCATTCACTCAGTAGCAGAGCCCAGCTGCAGAAGGGGAGACAGCAGGTTGACTGTGTGGCAGTTTGACTGTGGAGCTAGGATCAGGCTCTGGGCTGGGGAGGAAAGGCAGCAGAAGCAGCAGAGACAGGCAAAGGATGCTCAGCTCTGAAGGGAAAGGCTCCCTGTCCTTCCCTCAGCATGCGCAGGAGCGCCCCAGGGCAGCCACAGGCCAGCTCTGCCTGGCAAAGCTGATGGACAGACAGACACTGAGCACTCACTGCAGCCCCTGCAAAGCTGATGGACAGACAGACACTGAGCACTCACTGCAGCCCTGCCCCTGTGCTGAACACAGCAGCAGCAGCAGCCAAGCACACTCTGCCCTGCCTCAGTGCTCAGGCCTGGCCTGGCAGCCGTGCTGGGGCTGGGAACAGCTCCAGGGCCCTCCCACAAACACAGATGCTCCTGACGCATTCTGAGGGAAAACGTTCAGAGAGGACAGCAGTGCTGTCAGATTTAGTTCTTGAATTCAAAATTAACGTTTCCAAAATAATGATTTTAAATTCAAAAGAGGGTTTGTCACTTTGGTACCTCTTGGTCCCCGATTTCTGGAACTCTCCGGGATTGGTTGCAATGTTGTTCTGTGCATGTTTCCCACTACTCTGCATAGGTATTAAAGATAGAAGTGAAGGAAGTTTGCAATCACATTCTACTACTTGTTTGCTACAGGTTTTTTTTCCAAAGTTTTCCAAGAGCAGAACTTAAGCCATATTCTAATTCAATGATGCACACAAAAACCTGGGTTTCCCCGTTTAATAGACATTGGCCAGATTTACATCAGACCCAGACATTATTTCTGATTGGTTTTGTGGGTTGGAATTTGTTTATTATGTTACAAACTGAAGTTCGGGGGAACTTGCAACAAGTCCCACAAAGCACAGTGCAACATTTAGAAAGAAAAGTAAATGAAACTGCCAAACACTCAATCATTTTCTGCTGGAACTGGGATATTTTTCCTAAGACATCACTTTGAGGAGGGGATTAAAATTCAATGAATGAACTCAAGATAGTGGGAACTGCAAGGAAAAATAAGAAATGACAGCCACAACCTTTTCAATTTAAGGGCAGAATATAAGTCTAAGATATTTTTGATAAATTCTGACAAGAAAAAGAAAACAGCATACTTTAAAGTATATTGAAGCAGTGATTTTTAAACAAAGAAAGCAGAACTAGAACATCTTAAATTTTAATCCTTTCTTTACAGGTTACCTAGCCCACTTTTGATTAAGAAAACGGTAGAAAGTTAGTAACAGCCACAAGTTCACACCGAAAGGTGGCACTTGTCAATTTTCCATAGAGTCCTGCTTTACGGGGTGTCTCAAATGCACTGCTCCGATCTTCTATCATAGGTTGCTGACAGCACTTGTGTCAGATTTTAGTCCACTGGTCGCTTTTCACCATATTTCTTTGTAAACTCTTCAGCGTTCTTACAGAATTTTTTACGGTCCTTAGAGTATTCTTCAGCTAGGTCAGCCCGGAGGGGGTGCTCGGGCTGTGGATCATTCACCAGTGCTATGAGGGACTGGATTACTGTCAAAAGAAGTATAAACACCGTCAGACACTTAGATGGGTAATTTTTCAAAATCAAAATGTAAGCAAAATTCCCCTGTAAGGAAAGAGCTTTAACTGCATTTCAATACATCCCATAAATCTCGGGCCTTTTCAAGCGCAGGGCGTGAGTAAGCTGCAGTGATATGCCAAGATTTAGCTCAATGACCATGAATGAACACCAGAAAATAGTATTTGTAAACAAAATCAACATGAATAGAGACCGAAGTGCACTACAAATCATTTCTCATGTAATTGGCATCCCAGCTAAAATCCTCTCCTATGGCTGAGAACGAATGGAGTCCTCGGACAGGTTCCCTGAAGGGATTTGGTGAAGATGGAATTTGCACCACGAAGCATTTCCAACACCTGTCACAGGGACACAGCTGTGCCCACCCCTCTTCTGGAAACCCTTTTTTCCAGCTTTATTTCCCTGGGATTCTTACATCTATGGAAAGCAGGCATGTCTTCCCTTCACTCTCAACTTCCCAAGGCAGCCACCAGTAGAGGTGTACTGGGCAAACCACGGGGTGAGAGTGGCAAGGTGCTCACAGCAATGTCACCAACGTCCCTGGCACCTTCCAAAGAAAAGTCCCTCTTCAGGAAGTGGAAGTGCACCTGACATTTACACAGTGAACCTCACACCCCACAGTGCCATTCACTGCCACATTTTTCTCTGGGCAGGAATGCAAGTTCATGCAATGCTGGTCACTCCAGCAGATGCTGGAACACCAGAGTGGCTTTGTTTGGGGCACTGATCCTCAAAACAAATACTCAAAGCCACGCTCAAACCCAACATTTGTCTCTAAACTGCTAAACAAAAGTATTTCTTACCACAAATCCAAATTTAAACTGCAACCAACTATCTAAGGAATGCAGAATTGATACCAGCTTCCTTCACAGTAACTCACCAGTCCTGCCTTACAACAACTGCCATCACATTGCTGAAAACAGCAGAAACACCGAGGGGCAATCCCTTCTCACTGAGCAAAGCATGCAGAAACACTACAGAGAAAATGTGTGCTCAATAACCTTAAAAACAGTAACAAGCCAGAAAAAACAGGCCTGGCAGAACAGGAGCTGCCTCAATAGCCACAGAGTTTGAAACTATCCTGCCATGAACAGTTGTTTTTAATATTGAGCATAAATTAACAAAAAGTGCAGCAGTAAGATGCACATTCAGTATGCAAAAGGTAAGTTAGTGATTTATGATGAAATTGCTTCACTTTTTTGACACCTGTGTGAGCAAAACCAATGACTCTGATGCTGTATTAATGATGTCACATTATTTCATTGAGAAAAGCTGGGAGTGATTTTTCAGTGAAAAAGCAATCTGAAGGAAAAGGAATAGACATTTAAGCAGGGTTTAGTAACACAGGTTCATACAACCATGTAGTAACAACAGATGTTGACATTAAAACAACTTGAAGAAAGAGTTAAGACAAACAAACACAACACAGCAGATCATGAGAGATCTGCGCTATTTTGATAGCCAGGATTGGTTCCAAATTCTGATTTTAGCACAGCTTTTATTCAGTCTCTCAGATAACTCTCTCTCAGGGAGTTGCTAATTCTCAGGGAGACACTGAGATGCATGCAAACAATCATTTCAGCAGTTCCAGCTAATGACAGCTTGTTTTTCAAGCTGGGTAGAGACATGTAAGTCCTTTAGTTAACTAGCAAAGGCTGACAGCACCAGGACAGCTGCTCAGGTGTGGGACAGAACAGAAACCTTCCACATGTTCTTTCCATCTCCTCTCTCCTGAGGGCCTTTGTCCTGTAAAATCAGGGATAAAGCTACAACAGATCTAAGCTCTCAGCAGTCCCATTTCACAGGCTCTCTCTGCTGCCACCTCCATATTCACCAACATGCAGCTGCTTCACCTCTTCTAAAACAACTGCAATTTTCCTGCTTTGTCTTTGGGCAAGATCACAAAACCAGAAGTACCTTCTTTAGCACACAGGGATAAACAGAAAAAAATATCTCAAGTACAGCATTGTTTCCTATCAGGAACACAGATCATGTGAAAATAACCTTTAAGAAGAGCCTGGAAGGGGAAAGTATTTTCTCTTATGGAACAAGATACTTCAGTGTCACTGGAGCTCTAGCACTGCCCTAAACTGCTACTCATTTGAATTAATACACTTTAAAAATAAGCATTTTTTACAAGGATGTTTGCTTTCTATATGTATAATAATAAAAGCTTAATACCCAACTAATCATCACCTCCTAGACAACACAAAGTTCTCACCCCAACACCTGAGGCAAGCAACAACAGGAAAAACCTTACTTATATTACACTTAAGCCTGCCACAGAACTTGACAAAACTTTTCCCCTTACAATATTTAGATTCTTATCAAAGACACTCTACACAGCAAGTCTGACAGCAATGATCTTTTAGGAACTACAAGTTAATCTGTAGTATCTTCTCAGATTTTGTTTATGACTCCCATGATATTTCAAGCCATATGTTCAAATCACTGAACCACATGGCACATTATAAAATATACAGAACCTTGAGGTTTTAGACCTTGCCTTTCAAACATCCAGGAATTTACTGAACAGCTTTGGATTCTGAAGTCACTGTTTAAAAAGAAACACAGCATAACCTCCACACAAACCACCAGCAAAATTTTAAAGTATGCTGAGGACACTTCCTTAATAAACTCCTTAGTCATGAAGAGTTTTGTGGTTTCCTGGAGGTGGAAATGCCACTTCAGTGCCAGTACCTCCCATTCCAGTAACAAAATGAGGTTCCACAAGTTGAACTCTGCACTCAACACATGATTCATGACACAAACCTTACAATGAATATCCCTCAGAGCACCGGGAAACTGACAAGTGAAACATTATTCGCTTTAAATCCAAACACTACAAACTTTCTGAATACCCAGTTCTTTCTCCACACGGAGTCCTACCTTGGTCAGTTTTGGTTGCTGGCTTCCAGTTTTCAGCACTAATTACTGGCAGACAAACCTGCCCCTTTTCATCGATGTTAGGGTGATAGATCTTTGTTTTAAATGTAATCTTAGGAGGTTTGAATGGATATTCTGCTGGGAAGTTGATTTCAATTCTGAAGGCTCCTTTATCATATGGAGGATTGTCCTGCAACAAGAAGGCAGAATGTCAGAATGTCAGAATGTGGCACATGCTGATGGACACAAGTGAAAAGCAGCATCCACAGACTTGGAATTCATTGATCTCTTCAATGACCTCTTTGAAAGGCATTTTCTACCAACACTACTCCAGGTTTATGTGTCAGGAAACATCAAAACCCACGTGACAGGCAATACAAGCTGCACGTTTGCATCCACCCTGGAAAAAGCAGGTTGCCATTGTCCCACATTTCTGACATTTCCATGGGTAAGAAAGCATCCAGCTCCATTTACATCCAACCCAAGGCCCTCTCTACTAAGTAGTTTTATGTTTCAAAAAACATAGCAAAGCCTTACAAGACACAAACAGCAAACCTGACAAGGGAAGTGGGTTTCTGAACAGTTACTTTGTGTGTCTCACAACATGGTGGCATGAACAGCAACGCAATTTGGTTTGTCAGATCTCTCTGAATGTTTCGAGATTGTTTTTGTGCTGACTACACAAAAATCTGCTGAGCATTCATTGGTACTAAAGATAGATATTCACTGTGTTTGCTGATGAGAACATTCTGAATTTGTATGCAGTTTTAGCACCCACTCTTATCAGATCAGTTTTGAAGGAGCAGGATGAGAGAACCGTGAAGTGAGCAAAGCAGTTCTTCATGCTCAAACAGAAAAAACAATGCCCAGAATTTCACTAAGAAAAACCTGTTAGACTATTGATACTGATGCTTCAAATACTGCACAAGAGAGGCAGAACAAAAATAAACACTGCTACATTTAAAGCCTATGAAAATCCCATTCTGCACTGAAAACAGTAACTATGGAATGAAGCCTTTCCAAACACTCTGAGAACAAGAATCAAAGGATGAGAGTTTCCAGTTGGTGTAAAGTATAATCACACACATTCTTCATTAGCAACCAGACCCTTCCCTGCAATCAATTCCACTCCAGAATTTATCAATACTTAGGGGTGAGGAGTGTTCTATTAAAATATTTGTCAACAGAAAACATTTCATTTTAGGCTCATCCATGTGAAGAATTTGGTTGTGTGTCTGTAAGAAATACAGCACAGTTTCTGCCAGGGGAGAGGCAACTACAGTGGCTTTAAAATCACTTTTTACCCAAGCAATCCTAAGCTTTGGAAGTGGAACCAATAACTTGTGGTGGTGGTGACAGCTAAGGCAGTCACTGCCCTCTTCCCCCACAGCTCAATTGTTCTTTCCTCATCATGTGCTGTAATTTGTGAGCATGTTCAGTGAACTGACACAAGAAGTGACCTGCCTTAAAAACATCCATTTTCTTCACTGTGCCTCTTACATGAACAAGGAGCCTGGGCTACAGTCTTGTTTTGATGTTGAAATCAAACAAATAGTGTGCCTTGGCCACCCACAGGACACAAACTACTTCATTCTACAATTTAGAACAGGAAAAGAAGTTGACCAGCTATCTTCAATTTGCTTCTCAATTGAGTGAACACCCTTAAAAACTAACACTTGTTCTGAAGAGCAAAACGTGTTACAAACAAGAGCTTTTAAAGCTTTACAGCTCAACTTTATCTTTCACAGTAATTCTGTGTGAACACTATTAAAAATAATAAGCATTATCCTTCATGCCTTCATTAAGCAGCTGACAAGGAAATGCCCAGTTCTAGCATTTAATAATCAGTAACTGGTTAGTCCTACTGAAGTATGTGTCTTTAAACCCTAAGTCAGAACATTTGCTAAAATGGTAACAGCATGCGAAGCAAAAACACAGGGAAAAAAAAGTTTAAATTTTAATAAGCTCATGTATTGCATTTATAAGCCATCAACCCTGGTACCAAAAATAGCTAAAGAGACAGAAACACTAAAATAGCATAACTTCAGAATAAAAACTTCCACTACTCTTTGAACACAAAAAACAAATTTGAAATTACTACAGGAAGTGTAATTTCATGACAAAATTCTCCTTTAACTATACCAGCAGGGAATTTGAGGCTATTTCCGCTGTAAGAGGACATATTATAAATCAAAAGGCAGGTCTGGAGCACAGTTCACTGCACCAGCATTTAAACACTTGTGATGCTGCAAAGCTCTGCAAAACAAACACCATGCTCATCCTCAGTCGAGCAGAAACTGTTAAAAATAGCTGCTGTACACCACACACTCCTAATCTGAACAGGAGTAAACAAGTACTTTGTTTGTTTTGTTTTATTACTCATATTTACCAACCTTATACTGCTTCAAAGCGTTATCAAAGCACTAAACTGTTACACATGAACCACAAAGTGACTGATTAAAGGGAGTTGTTCCTCAGCTCTGTCAAATTTCAGTGTCAGATCCCACTTGCTTTGTTTGCAGGAGCAGTGGCAGCCACTGCAAGGAATCACTTGCAGGCACTAAGCAAAGAGCAAACGGAACGGATTCCTCAGCACTCACAGGGGAACCACCCAGCCATGAGCTCAGCTGGGCCATGTGAGCTCCAGAGCAGCCTCTGACTAACCAGGCCCAGGCACTGCAGAGATGGCTCAAATCTTACTCACACAATAAAAACACAGACCTGCACTGCTTGGGGAGGCTTTTTGGCACCACCCACAGAAACCACAAGTGCTGCCCCCATGGCCCAGCCCCTATTGCTGCAGACTGAAAATAGCTCTCAGAACCAAGCCAGCCATTCCCACTGCTATGGGCCACAGCTGTGGGAAACACAAGAGGTGAAAATCCAAGTGACTTTCAGCCAAGAAGTCAACACTTCACATTTTCTGCTTTCCTCTTATAACAAATCCCTCTCTATTTGACTAATAAAATGGTCATCTACTTCCATCAAACATTCCCTAAGACTGTAGTGCTTTTTAAAAAAATTAGGTAAAATAAGTTTATTTTGGCACTAACTAATGCCTAAACAAAGATACTATTTTCTTTTAAAGAGCTCACTTCAGAAAATCCAAACCTTTTCTTTGCATCAAATTTTTCCCAATACTCAGCGCTATCCTAGTAATAAACCCAGTAAATTAAAAAAAATACATATTAAGGAGTATTAGTATTTCATACATCCTTTCTTTTTCCTATGATCATGTAGATTTTGTACTTTAGGCTTAATGTAAAACAAAACTTCACTGCTTTCCCTTCCAACACCTCTCTCAGCAGCCCAGTGTCAGCCCAGGCCCACAATAACAAATTATTTCATGGTCACCAGCAGCACTGCTGAGCTCTGGATTTATGAGATACAAACGATCCTCATTTTATTTTAAAGCTCATAAGGAACAGTCTATACTCACAGGAACAATAAGCCCTTGCCAGGTCAATAAATTAGCTTCATCAACCTGGATATTACGGAAGTTTTTCATTCCACATTTGCGAATTTCTTCAAGCTCCTGAAAAGCAAAGCAAAGTGTTAAGTGTAAGTTAATAACTGCATTAAGCAAGAAGCTCAAATTTTTCAAAATGCTTAAAGGTCAATGTGGTTTTCTTTAATTAGTGCTGTGGCAACCCACACAAATAGGAAATAAAATTTTGCACCTGTAAAATGTAAAATTCACTGAGATACTAAAACTCTTGTTTTCTGATATATAAGGAAAACACAAAAATGTCTTGTTATTAACATCATTATAGACACAATGAAGCAGAAGTATTAAAAGAAAACAATTTTTAAATGCAGTTTATCTCAAATGTAAATCAGTACCTCTGGTAACAGACTATTGACAACACTGTGAGGTGCAGAAATAAAATGCATCTCAGGACTTGTGTGGAGGAGAGCAGTGATTTGGAAGAACTATTTCATAATAGTTCTAAACAGGGATAAATCCAATGAACGGGCCAATTATTTCAACTGAAAATGAGCAAATTCCTGCATGAACAGCTTAAATTGATCCAAACCCAGGAAAATATCAATCAAGCCTTGTTTAGAGCAGTAACTTGAAAAGATTCAGCTTTCTCTCTGTTTAGTACCTCAAAGCTCACAGTACACATTAGGATTCCTCTCTTTAAAGCTGCATCAGTCTTCAGCAAGGTTATCTTCCTGCACCAGGAAGACTATTTTTAATCAGTTTGTGAACCAAGTATCACCAAAATAAGTATTTCAGCATTTTGATATTTAAAATGACATATAAGCCCTACTGTAGGGACTGCTTCCTGGAGTATTTCATAACACCTCAAAAGAAACACCTCAAGGTTCCACTTTTATTTCCTCCACAACAATTACAGTCCTTTGTGGTTGAACTCTGCCATTTTATCTTTAAAGAGAATTTAATGAAATACGAATTCAAAAATCATCCACAGCAAAACATAAAAGTTTGCCAGTGCTTTCAAAAGTGCATCACATGCCCGGTGGCTGCATAGGTTAGGGAAAATGTTGCTTATACAGCAGCACTGGGGTGCTCTGACAGTGCTCAGCTCTGCACTGGGTGCAGGTGTCTGGCAAAATTAGGCTGGATATAATTACGATAAACCCACCAATTAAAAGCAAAGACACTACACAATGAAAAACAAAACCAATCAGTTTTCCTGCTACAAGTGCTGTCTGTGGTTTGTCTTCCAAAATAGCTCCCTGTTCATCTTGGATCAACCCTTCCTGCACTTGACTGGCAGATTCAATACTTGCAGTAACCTCTTGCAGAAATGCAGCATCATGATAAAACTCAAACCCAAAGGGAAAGCGAGAATTCCAAATGCAAGTGAAACAAAAATCACAACAGCCACATATCAGCAAATGAACATTTATACTCCTACCCCTGGACCTACTAAAGCAAGAGCACACTCTGAACACAGGAGTTGAACCTTGGAGCCTTTGAAACTGAATTGATGCCTACCACTGTCTTCATGACACTAACACTGACTTTTTAGTCTAGACCCATGGATTAATCCCCAAATTCCACTGCTGCTCGATTTATGCAATGTCACAGACAGTTTGGGTGGTTTTTTTAAAGAGCTAAGAGGATTATCCTATTTCCTTAGAGCAGGAAAACACAACCCCCCCCAATAATCCCATGAGTCATATTTATAGGGATAGAGAGCAACCCAAAATATTCAAAAGAAAATAACCTTTATGATTGCAGCTCCAAGAGGTGCTTTACCATCACTCAGAGTGCAAATCCCCACAGTGCCTCACTGCGAGTGCTCCTGCACAAAGCAGCAGCTCAGGGAGAGCCGGGCAGGTCCTGCCAGGGGCAGCTGAGTTTGCTGCTCACTCCCGTCACACACAGAGCTGTGAGGCACCGGCAAAGCACTGCCCACAGCATGCAAAAGGAATAAATTCCATTCCATACTACACACAACACATCAAACACTGGGAACAACATAAGCTAACCAAGCAGTAGGTATTTAGGCATAAATAAATGTGCATCATCACCAGTGCCTTCATTCTAAAACAAGGCAAGGAAAATGGGTTTAGACTAATTTCTAGTTACTATAGCAAAAACATTATGCATATGACAGAAACCTCCCCCATTATGCCCAGTGGGACTGCAGCTTCCAGGAGCTTTTGTCCCAGGTTCAGACAACAGCACTGTACTGCTGCTGGCTCAGAGAACAATTGTCCAGATGCAAAAAAAAGAAGGGCTATGACTCTATAATTCAGGTATGTTATTAAACTAATACAACAAATGAGAAAAGTGTAGCTTCACATTGATGGAAAATTAAACACCTACATTTTATAGTTAGATTCAGGTTAAAAAATTGGATGGTGAATTAAGAAATGCAAGAATCCCATACAGAGATAATTATAAAATTGTAAAACTTTGTATGCCATCAATGAAAAGCTAAAATACATATGCAAATTGTTTCCCACTTTTTCTCAAGTCCACCATATGAGAGAGGGAATTAAACAGTACAGAGGCACTAAAGAACCAAACAAAAATTATTCAGGCCACCTTCCTCTTTAAAATGTGATGAGAGGCCTTTGCAGGAAACCACGTGCAAAAGCAAAGCTGTGGCAATGAGGGGTGTGAGGCCCGGCTGTCCCTCGTCCCGCGGCAGCTGCGCAGGGACAGCCGGGGACGGAGGGGCAGAGCAGCTCCCGCCCACACAGCGACAACGCAGCCACCTCAGCTGGGCACGCACCGAACCACGGGCTCACACTGGAATTTGTACTAGAAATTACTTTTCTTACACTAGGAGTGTGGCAGTAAGTCACTCCAAATGAATGGAGTCCGTGCTGGAGTTGTTCACAAACAGCTTTTCCCCACAGGGGCAGTGTAACACTGCCCAAGCCGTGCCTTCAGGAGTGGCAGGACCATCACCATGCACAATTTAGGGTGTGAGGGGAGGTTGTTTTGGGTTTTTTTCCTTCTGGCAACTGCCAAAACCCATAATAAAGATCTAACTGCCTCAGGGCTACGCAGGCAGACACTGCAGTATACAGTGCTGTTAAAAAAGTGAATGAGCTACTGAATACTTTCAAGCAGCACAGATTAAAAGCTAACAATACCTTTAACACGGGCTTGAGCAACTCCAAAGGGACAAAAACTACTTTGAGGTAAAAAGATACAGTCCAGATATTTATTTCAAAGTAATACTTATGAGTCTAGGCAGACAGTAAATAGATTAATTCCTTTTCTTGTCCTCCACCCCTTAATTTTGTCAAGTAACATAATTAAAGGGGCACAGGAGGAGCGTAACTAAAGGTTAGATGACTGCAGTAAGAATTTAAATCAATCTTCATTCCCCACTCCTTTATCAACCTTGCATGTGACCTTGCTGCATTGGTTTATCCACTTGAAAAACTGAAATGTCTGAATGTTCATGGGGCTCTCTTGAGACACGATGTTTGTAATTTGGAAATGTTCAGACAAAGTGTTACACACAGCACATGAAATGGAGAAAACACTGAAGATCAGGTACCACCCCTGAAACAAACATATAATGTTGAAGGTATTCATAAAAGTACATACAACTTCTCACATATAACCATTAAAGGTTTAAAATTGTAATTTTCAATACTGTGTAATCGTTTGGGCTGTTCAAATCAAAAATTAAATGTTTTAAAGCAGAAAGAAAAGCAGCACCAGCTTAAAATGTAGCTAAATCTTTTAAAAACCCTGTAACTGTTCTGTCCATGCATCTTTCAAGTTTTGGGACTTCCCTAAAATCCCAAGCCAGATAGGAAGATGCAGTGAAGGCAAATACTTGTAAGAGTGCAATCACAGAATATGGGAATAAGTGTAAGAGCTCATGTTGACTGGAGTAAGTTCTGCATCAAGCCCAGAATACTATTAAATTCACAAATAAAACCCCAAAAGCCTCCTGAAAGAACCCTAAATCATTATTACAACTTATATTTATCTGTTTATGAATACATTCTCTAAAAAATGCTTTTAAGTCAAACAAGATCCAAAACACTGATCAGGAACTGGCCAGTTTCACTTTCTGGATTAACAGTACAGAGAAGTCTTAAAACACCTTAAAATCTGATTCTACCACACCAAAAAATCCTTCAGAAATCCAACCAAAAACAGAATTCAGTTCTTTTAAGAGTCAGCAGTAAGTTTCCTTTGCATCTTACAACCCTGTATACTCACATCTTATTGACTGAGCAATTCTACTTTTTAGCAAAGTATTTTCATTTGATTAAAAATCCTTTTGTCAATTCTCAGTTTCAAAAAGTGAAGATGCATCCACATTCTCACTTCTGCCTAAGGACAATCACATGTTGCTCAAAACCATATTTCCCTTGTTACTAAGAACTGACGTTTGGATCAATTTAGAATTATTTTTCAAGTATGAGAGTTGTTTAAAACCCCTTGATTTGGGAGCACTACAGTGTTTACAGGACCACAGCATCCTGGAGATTGCAGGCCACCTACCTGGGTGTGGTCCCATGTTTGTGTTTTATCACGGAGGAGTTCAACAGTTGCATAAATGTTTGACTATGCAACTATGGAAGCAGAGTAAAAACAATAAAATTAAAATAATTGTCAACATCTCTCACTTCCTATGTGAAGTGTTATTTACTCTTTAAATCCATTTTCAATTTCTATTGCTAAAGATGCTTCTGAAGGTGTAAAAGCCAGGCATGGATGTGACAGACAGCCGAGCTCCATCCCAGGCAGTGCCCAGGGAAGGCCCAGCCCCACACTGGGGCAGCAGAGCCTTCTCCAGGAGCACCCAGAGCCCCGTGAGGGGCAGCCCAGCCCCAGCCCTGCAGGTACTGTGAGTGTCCAGCACAGAGCCTTCCCTGGGCACCCCCCTCCACACAGCACTCAGCCATGGATCCAGCTGAGGAACGGCCTCTTTTATCTCACTAGGTGCCAACTGGGCACAGCCTTCCCTTCAAGTCACCAGCATGGATCTCTGGGAGATCCGTGTTCCCCATCATACAGCCCGAGACAATTCCCTTTCTATGAGAAAGGGCCATAAAGCCCAGTACCCCTTCAGAGAGAAGCCTTAGATCCTCTCCTAAATATCATCCCTCCATATTTGTGTGTTTTAGCCCTGACTGTCCACAACACCACACCTTGACAAACACAGCTTCATTCCAGAGCTCACATTTCACAAAGAGCCAGGATTCAACAACCGGGGCTCTTTGAAAAGGTGTAATGGTGGCTCACAGCTCAAACCTCCACCTCAGATGTCACTGGAATATGAGTCACCAGCCATGTTTATTTCACGTTTTTGCTATGCTGAGCGCACTCCTGGAAGGGCACACCTCCATGGAGCTGCTGTGAATCAGGGGACAAGACTTCAGTCAGGTGGCACCATTTGATGGGATAAAGCTCAGCAAAAAGAGGCCATAAAAAAGCTCTTTGGCCTAGGGAAGGTGATTTGCCCAAACACACCCTCAGATAACAAGCAATCTTGTTGTCTTTATAACCTGAATTCATGTTTAAATTTGGATGGTACAAGTTCAATGTACCAAAATTTGTAATGTTTGTTTCACACAGGGGTTTGTGAACTCAAGATGCAAAGGGCATCCACTCCCACCTGGACGGAGGACACGGCTCCCAGTTTGCCACAGGCAGCCAGTGAGTTGTTATGGATGTACTGCACCCAGTCTCTTTGAGCCATGGTGATTAATATGAATAACTATGATGCATGACTTGAGTCCAGAAAAAATGCAGTACTTCAAAATGTTGGCAAGACCTTAAGGAAACAGGAATTGCTTAATTTTATATAACTATAAAAGGTTTAAGGTTTAGTCTCATTTATCAAAGACAAGCTTGATTATTTAGCTCAAAGAAAAGACAGTTAATGCTTATCCTAAATTATTTTAAAGGTAATTGACTGACACGGTGAAAAACCCTATTTCCTTTAGTTATAATCACTCATCATTCCGAGATCCTGACAAAGAGACCCCAAAGACTCTTCCCAACTGCAAAACTCCAACAGTGAAAGGCTTTGATTTAAAGTGGACCTGTGAACGTGGGACTTCAGCAGTGATTTGAGGCTGACACACACGTGAGCCCGGACCTTCACATCATGCTGCAGCAATCCCGATGACATCATCCCTACGAGAGCTCCACTTTGTTCCTGCCGAGATGAATGGCACAGCCAGGGCCTCCTGGGCTGCTGCACTCCCCGGAGCAGGCAGGGAGTGCTCATCTAACAGCCTCTGCAAGCTGTGGGACACAGCAGCCCACAGCTCCTCAACTGCACAAAACCCACACAGACACCAACAACCCACGCATATTAGGCAACAGAAACAAAAGTGAAAACAGAAGAGGTAAGTTATCAATGTCTCCTGCATTTCCACACCACTCCCTCCAAAAAACAACTGCCACACCAATTTTCTAGAAAATAAGGTCACATTATCAAAACTCCTTTTTAGTGTATTTTAGTGAAAGACTGAAATTCTAATGTTTCAGAAGTATAGTAAAAATGAAGAGGGAGGCTAAAAAGCAAGAGGCACTGAAAATATTAAGAACCATTTTTCTTGCCTTTGAGATTTGTATTTTCTATTTTAAATAAACAAAAAAGAGAAAATATATATTATTCCTACTAGAGTAGTAGTGATGTGCTTTTGAACAATCAATGCATTATTTCAGAACAAGAAGAAAAACTGCCTTACAAAAACAGTAAACAAGCATTTAATCTTATGTCTGAAACTAAGGGAAACCTTATTTGAGTATAAAGCAACAGACACGGTGATTATAATACAAAGCCCTGAGAAAATATAGAGCTATCAAAAATGAAGTAAAAAATGAATTCCATCTCACCAGGATCCTTAAGGGCAATTAAAGGTTTACACCTACTGATTTTTAATATATATGAATGACACTGCACACTATCTACTATTTCATTTTTAAATGCTCCATAGAACATTTAAACCAACAAAATGAGTCTTATAGAAGCACTGCTGAGCTATTGGTTTCCTCTAAAATACTCAAGTTACAGTGGTTATTCATATATCTGCACATCAAGGAAATGCAACTTCAGGACATGCCATGAACACGTCCGGGTGAAATCCCAGCCCTACTGGGGTCCAGGGCCTTGAAGCCAGCTGTAAAACTGGTATTAAAGGATTAAATTTAACAGAATCACCCAAGAATCTGTTAAATCCCAGTGGAGGGTTACTCTGCACCCCACAGGGGCAGGTTTTTAAATAAGGCTGAAACATTGCTCAACAGTTATGGGGTCTTTCCCCTCCACCTCCCAGGACTGGCCTGTAAAGTCCATTGATTTCCCCACAGGCACTTCACATGCAAATCTGGATTCTGCCACAGCATTTTACAGATGAATAAATTTTATGCCACTATGTAGTGTGTCCTAGGCAAACCTCGCTGCTTACAGTTTAGGATGGTAATTGGCAATTATATACTGCGCATAAAATAAATTTGTGTGCTTTGGGGGCAATGGTTACTATTTTCCTTGTAAAAAGCACCTTCTTCCTCAAAGAAAATAAGGAGAAACATAATCCCGAGTGGTATTTAACCATAAACTATACGTGCTCTTGGTAAAAGCCCAGCCGGGGCCGAGTTTCCATTTCCAAGTATCATCCACGGTTCAGAACAAATAAGAGTGAAGACAAAAACATTACCACGTCCGCAGCGAATGAAGAAACTTCTGAACCCCGGTCCGTGTTTCTGTGTGATAAACCTCTTACTCATACGAGGAAGAGGTTACTCTCCGAAACAACGAAAACGAAATTTTTTCATGCCCGGGCGCCTGGGGACGGTTCCTCACCGGGGCGAGCGCGGGGGAGCGGCGAACCTCCCCCCGCAGGGAGAGAGAGAGGGAGGAGAGGGCGCTTCCCCGCCGCGGCCTCCCCGGCAGGGCCGCCGAGCCCTCCCGCCGCCCCGGGGATGCCCCGGCCCCGGGCGGCGCCGTTTCCTTCCCCCGTCCCTTCCTCTTTGCTTAGTCACCCTGGAGCCCCCCGAGCGAGGGGGTCGGGGCGGCCCGCGGCGCCCGCCCGGCGCCCCCGCCCAGCCCCGGGCGGCAGCCGGCTCCGCGGGGCGCTGCCGGAGCGCGGGGCGGCGGCGCCGGGGGGGCGGCGCGGCCCCTCACGGCCGCGGCCCGACCGCCGGCTGCTCCCGCTCCGGCCGTGAGGGCGCGGGGCGCCGCCGAGGGGCGCGGAGGAGGCCGCCCCGCCAGGAGGCGGCGGGGGAGGCGGCCCCGCGCTGCCGGAGGGGGCTGGGGCGGAGAGGCGGCCGCGGGAGCCGGAGCCGCCCGCCCGGCGGCCCTGCCCGGCGCTGTTACCTTCATCAGCCTCCTGCTGGCCGCCATCTTGGCTCTGCTGCTGCGCCCCACAATGCATCGCGGCGCGGGCCGGCCGCTAAACCCTGCGCTTCCTGGGGCGGTGCGTGGGGGGCGGGGCGTTCGGCTCGGCTCGGCTCGGCTCGGCTCGGCTCGGCTCGGCTCGGCTCGGACCGGACGAATTCAGCCCGGTTCGGCTGCACTCGGCTGTGCTGGGGTCGGCCCGGCCCGGCCCCCGCCGCCCTGAGGTCTCGGTGGTGCCTTTTCCATCATCAATCACTGATTTAAAAGCATCGCTGTGCCTTTTTCTATTCATTGTGCATCCCCCAAATTCGGTACCATCTTCCTCGGCGGGGACTCCAACCACCTGTAGCCACAGGCTTTCTCAAACAAGCCCACGTCCTCTTCAGAACCCACACAAACTTTATTTCTTAGTTTCTTCAGGCACTCTGAAGGGAGAGGGAAGGGCGATTTTCCAAGAGCCATCTGACCACAGAACCACCCTCAGCTCTGCTGGTCTCAGATGAAAGCACCCTTGGCCTTGCCTCTCCCTGAGCTGCCCAGTGCAGCCTCAGCCCTGCCGTGCTGTGCCAGAACACCGCTGTGGGAGAGGAGAAATGCACCGTCAGTAGCCCTCAGTCCTGCCATTTGCCCTTTGCCATGTGCTTTTAGCCCCTTAGCTCTTACTGTAGCTGCTCCCAGCCCTGATGCTCAGGATACAGCAGCAGTGCAGGTGTCCTCAGGTATCCAACACACAGGCCTGGCAGATTTAAGTTACTACATGGGACATAAGTTATTACATCACATCTAAAATGCCACCAGACATCCATGTTCAGGTACCTGACTTGCTCCCTAAAACCTTCTCCACTGACCCAATGTACTCAGGAATTACTGCAGGACTGCTGGATGTGTGACCTCAATTCCCCTTTTCCCCACCCTTGTGTCGGTTCATGTCCTCGCTTGATCTAACACTTGTTCTACAGAAGTCACCAACAAAGTTCTAAGCTCTAAAATAAACTTTACAGGCTAATACAACCAGAAAAAGGAAATGTTATGCTTCTTACAGGCTTTCAAAAACTTGAAAAAATGCAACAAGTTTTTAATTATGAAGCACAGAATTATAATATTAAAATTAGTTCTTGAATAAGCTATTTGCTAATCAATATTTACAGTAATATAGTGCTTATTGCTACAAAACTCAATCAACATTTGTTAATGAAATAAGCTATACTGCACCTATAAGAAACACCTTAATCCTCACCTACTTCATATGCATATTATGAAACAGTTTGTAAATAGTTATTAAATATAGTTGATGATCATGATAACTTTATTCTATTAGATATGTAAAGAATTTTGCATTCATTTTACTCCACGAAAATGGACTCAGAGGAAGCTGAAAGAGGCAGACCCTCATGGGGAAGTAGTGGAGAGATGCAAAGAGAGCCTGTGCTGGGTGAAGAATTACACACGTGCCAGGCAGGCACAGGCTGTGAGAAACCAGAAGCTGCAGAGACTCTCTGAGGATTCTTGATGTGCTGCTGAAGTGGGATGCTGGGGATGAAGATTTAAAAATGCTGACTTCTGATAAAAGAACTGGTTCAGATTCTATGATTGTGAAATGCATAAATACCTAAATCTGATACCATGGTAACTTGGAAGAAGAGTTCCTACAACTGATTATCCAGATGTCTACAAATATGAAAAACAAGCTGCTCCAGATACTATCTTGATTTCTTTATTTGCCAAAACTCTATTTATATCTTCAGCTCTTCTTTATTTGACTACATGGTTTTCCAAGACTACCATATGTCTTTGTATGTTCTCTAAAGATTTTTTTCCCCCCAAATACAGTGATTCTGTCCCTCTTCTATACCTGCATTGAGACACAGAGCCAGCAAACACCAGAGAGTATTAGAAGCACCACAGGGAACTCTGAAATTACTATCTGTAATTTTAATCCATGAATTTACAGCTTGTAAGAGAGTGTCAGAAGTAGCTGCGATAATTATAAGATAATTGCATTTCCTTTAACAAGACAAAAATACCACCCACACTATAACCAACAACAGCCCAACCAGCTCTTAAGAAATTGGTTGAGCTGTCCTCACAAATGGACACTGAATGTTGAAATCCTTTATTACAGCAGTGTTTGAGAAGTTTACCCAGACCTGGGCACATCTCACACTCCTGCTGCCAGTACCCTGCATGCTGCCAGTGCCTGGGCAGATCTGATGGTGCCACACTCCTGTGCATGAGCAGGGACTGCAGTTGTACTCCCAGTGCTGGCTCTCACCTGGGTGCCACTTCCTGAGTCAGGACACACTGCTGTACAGTCCTGGAGAAGCAGCAGGAATTTCTTTTCAGACAGAATTTCATCAATTGTACTCTTCTGTCAGCAGCAAAATCCAGGCCATTTGTTACATAGTTTAGAAGATGGTTCTGCATTTTTAAACTTGTCTTTTGGTGTGGTTTCTAGGTTGTATCCATTATTTTACTTGACACTTAAGAGTGTCCAGAATGCAGGTTTTAGTGTTTATCCTGTAATATCTTCAAAAGATTGGATACTATACTTATGGCTGCCCTCTGCCAAAGATAACTTTCTATCACATTTCCACTTTTTAAAGCAACATAACTGTTCCACTTCTAAAAAAAACCTGTGCAAACAGACTTTGTGAACAAGTGAGCCACAAGAGCTCACTGGTTGAAAACTTTAGAAAAAAATTCTCCTGGCTACTTTACTGTTATGAAATGGCCATCTGAAAGAAAACAAACCTCATGAAAACTGAAGGGAAGAGGAAAGAATAAGAAGAATTTGGTTGCTGTATGAAACCTTGGTACCCCCGCATTGTTTTTACCAGTGGGAGATGTCACTACACCACAAGAACAACACAACAGAACCAGGGAAGGGAAAGAGAAGGGCAGAGGTGGTGATCAAGAGAGTGCAATAGTGATGTACTAAGAGAGATTAAAGTGGCTGAGGCTCTTGCACCTGCAGGGGAGGAGGCTGAGAAAATATGTTAAAGGCTTATGAAATCATAAAGGCAGGGGCTGAGATGATATGAAGCTGTTATTTGTCAGACTGGAATGAAGGTACACACACAGAGACTGCTCAGGCATTACAAACTGCCCAGAGACAGGTAATTCATGCTTGGAACTCCCTACCACAGGCTGTAGTAAAGGCAGCAGTCAGCAGGTTCAAAAGCAAACTAGTCAAACTAGGTAACAGGTCTATACATGAATTAAAGAAGAGAATAGGCATGGAATAATCATCTAATATCTCCAATTAGTGCTTGGTCATAATTATGGATACCTGGAAGTGTAAGGTGACAGACCATTGGCTTGCATGGTGGTCTCTAAATGAACCATCCTCCCCTACCATGGACAGTGAGAGAGGGGTGGCACAGGTGGGCCTCTGCTCTGGTCCAGCTGGACGCTTCAGACATTCAGGATTCCTTGGATAGGATGATTTCCAGAATACAGACTGAATTCAGATTTCAAATGGGTTCCAATACCTAGAAAATACATCAAAGGAACCTGTAATCCACAAGGGCAAAATGCATCTCTAGGAGCAGGGAAAAAGGTAAAAAGATAAAAGTAAAAAATTATTAATGCCTTAAATAATTATATGCTACTCCATTGGAATTATTAAATCTAAAATGGTTAAAAAAGACATAATTTATTATTCTGTTGACAATCCTTCATCCTTTATTCTTTGCCAATGATTTAAAGTTTTTATGAAGATTTTCTTGTCTTTTCAGTCTCTTAGATCTCTAATGGCAAGCATTTTAAAGCAATTAATTAGGTATGATGATTGTCATCTGACATTTGTTCTGTCTAGTAAGTATCTATTGTAGAATTATAAACACATTGTCTTCCTCCTGCATTTTGTGTGTCATGAATGTTATTAAAGTGATTCTGTCCTGCACAGATGCCTTTCCCTTGAATGCAATATTTCTTAATAAAAACTAAATGCATTAAGTCTCCTTTGATGCTGGAAACTGGTCTAGAGATGGAGAGGGGAATGTACAAAGTATTACAACAATAACAACATGAACTTTATGCTTCTTTCTATTCATGCTTTATTAGCTTCTATCACCCTGAATCAGAGACAGGGTCCCATGATGCTAGAAACTCTGAATATCACAGTGAAAACGAGCATTTCTCTCTGAAAAAAACCCTGAGCAGCTGTGATAGCTGGGGACAATCACCTCCAGAGAGACCTAAGGGACCTGGAGAGACCATGGAGTGTTCTTCAAAATATGAACTGCCTTGGAGGGCAGGAAGCTCTCAAAGTGTGGCAGGAGGCAAAGCAGCACAAGGACCCTGAACAGCTTCTCCTGCCCAGCAGCTGGAAGAAGGAGACAGGTTGTGACATGAGATCCCTTTCAAGGCAATTAGGTCCTGACTCCTTTCACATGAAGCCACTGAGACACAGGAATCAGTAACAGACCTTAACCCCAGAGTCTCCAAGGCAATAGGCTGCAAAATTTGGAGTATTCTTAGCTCAACATGGCTAAGATGGACCTAAGGAGCGCCCTGAAGTAGAGCTTCTCTAACTACTGCAGAAGTGGCTTACAGCCTTTGAGACTTGGATGAGGATGGTTGATTTGAGGGACAGGTGACAGAGGGCAGAGGAGAACAGGTCCCTTCTAGTACGATAGAAGTTTCAAAGGGTGACATGGTGACATTGAGCCTCCATAGCCAAGGGAGCTCTTGCAGAATGCAGATCATGAAGTGAGATTTTGCAGCAGAAGCATGAGCAATGGAGGAAAAAGGGATGGTCTTGACAAAGAAATCTGTGTCATTGTGTTGGCTGATAGACCTGGAGATACAGAGATTCCCCTTAATCATGTGTCAGTACCTTATCCAAGAAATCTCACTTTAGTCAAACAATTTGGAAGAAGTATTGTTGTTGGCTGGGAGCCTCCACTTGTGCTGGCTGTGTAGATATTAAATGTGGTTTCTGTAGCCAGGCAGCTCAGAGGCTCAAGCAGTGATTGAAGACTTGGATTTTGAAAAGTCATACCTACCAAATTCTACTTCAAAGTGTAATATAAAAAGGAAATTCCTGTTAGAGGCAGTACACCATCCTAGTAGGGAG